CCACATAATATTACTTTTCCTTTAATCGATCCTTTCTCGCCCACGAACAGCCAATCTTTTTCCTGCTCCTCGGACAATCACGGTAACGAAGGGGCACCGGGAGTTTAATCGAAACGCTACCATTTGAAACCCGGCTATTTCTTGTATTTGTCAAATAACTCCCAGAGACCAAATCAAACAAGCGCTGTCTCGACGAGCAGCAGATTGTGTTGTTCCGTTCGGCAACAATCCGCTTCATCTCACGCGTCCCCATCTCAATTAAACGTTCTATCACATTTCGACGCAAGATTCCAGTGAATCAAATTCAATCGAACTTGAAGCAATGTAAGATGAAAACTTTAATATTTGGTCGGTTGCCATAGTAATTTATAGCTATAACGTAGATATATTGGAAACTAGCGTAGAACCGTCTTAATAGCGCATGGAAATGTGGACGTAGCCCGTAACCCGATGTAATCTAAACGGTGGCAATGGGAGTCATCGGTGCCCGCGGTATTTATTGGATGCAAATCAGCCGAGGAGATACGGCTCCTCGAGGCGTCCCCATGTAGAACACGCTTTCATGGAACAAGCCTGTTAACACGGCAACTCCGTCGATTGCCTCGCGGGGAAGGTAAATGAGACGGTGATGAGTTGTGAAAGCAGTATTTGGGAACATTATAAGACGTCGGTACTAATCGATATTGTAGTTACATTGAGATGCAGGACGTAATTGACAACGTGATGATTTAAGATAAGAAGAATAATGTAAAAAGTATTGACATTAGAAACGATGAATACTATGTTCCTCATTTGGAAGTAGATATAATTGTAGACTTTCTAGATTCACCTAACAGATAATGTGTGTCTGGAATATAAAACGTGCATCTGGTTTCACGAGTAGTTGCAACAAGGAAATATAATTAACCGGAAACACGATGTACCTTAGCTTTTTGGTACTACTGTCACGTGTCACACTGATTTAGTTGGAACCTGTTCCTCCGGGGAAAGAAAATGTGCTAATGGGGTTTTCAAGGACTCGCTTCGACTGTTCGCTTTGGGAACGTGGAGCAAGTTTTCGGTTAAAACTTGGGCCAAGTGTAGGGATTTTCGGAGAATAGTTGAGTTACTCGACCGACTTTGTTGTCTACTGCTTTACCCCCTTGGAATACCAAAAGTCCTGTTCAAATTACACTACCACGATTGCAGAACAATTTACATAAATTTCTTCGGTAAAAACGTTTCCGTCGTGTATCAATTCGGGAAATTATCAATTCCAGAGCCTACCGCAAAACAAGTATTGAGGAAAATGTGAAATGATATCAAAGTTCACCCGACAAAAGAAGGAAATGGATCACCGCGAGCAGAACAAACTCGAAAGTAATTTTAATAGATTCGGTAACGAGTTACACGAGGTTTTCGACAGCTCCCTTTGAAAACACATTCAGTGCTTCTATGGTCGAGAGCACGATGTTTCAGTTAAAGCCATCCCGATCACGGGTCGATTTTGCGCGGAGCCGAGAGAACCGATTACGTCGACGCGTGTGCAAACACGTGCGCACCGTCGGGCAGAGGGTGTCGCCGCTGATATTACGATTTCCGCGCGATCGACAAGTGTTTAGTCCCTTTGATTTCGTTCTCTTTGATCCTGCCTTTTCCGCGAAATCATTCCTCGATGCGCCATTCAATTTCTACAGCTCCTCTAGAGCATTTCAAGCATTCTTTATCATACGCACTTGACTTGCACAGATTATTAAATCAATGATTAACACGTAGAATCGCAAGTTTTCTAAACGTATAAACCGACTAATTGTTCGTTTATTCGGGTCGCGGTATAATTAAATTTCCATCAAGCCTCTAAAGAATTTTCTTTTTCTCAGAGGCTGTGCCATTTATAATTTATGTAAATTTGTGCAAAATATTTCACGAACTACGAGTCATGCTAGAAAACTCCGTTGAATGTACGAACGGGAGGAAAAGCATACCAATTACTGGAGCCATTGCATGGAAAATGCTAATAACTTTTCTAAAAGCTACTTAATACGTGTATCGTAAACCAGCGTTCAACATTGCTTCTCCAATTCGTTCGCGCATTCTAACAATTATAATTTTATAGAACAGATGATATATTTTATATTCGACCAAACGGAACCTCGTAGTCTCGAGATACGTCGTTCGGATAACAAAATGTGCGGATAACGCGAGATAATACAGTCTCCGTCGTATTTCATAGCGCGCGAGCAAATTAGATATTCATACCCCGGGTCTCGAAATGAAATTCACCCGTTTCCGATGCCACGCACCAGGCAGAAATTTTATTCTCTTCGAGTAGAAGATTTCCGCGATGCCATTTGCGGTGGATAAAAGTGCTGCGTCGCGTAATACGTTCAGTCTCCGGGTTCTCTCTTTTCATCTCCCCTTTTCCATTCTCGCCCTTTTACTTACATGCCGGCAGGCTCTGCCGGGCCCGCGTATATTCTTTCCCGGTAACGAGGACACGTTCATCGGTATTCCAGAAGCGTCGGGACAACCTGTACGTGCTCGACGCCGCGGCGGCGGCGGCGGCGGCGGCGCGCAGCGCACCGATAAATGCAATTATGCGGATGCTCTCAATTACCGATCCGCGTCAGCAATTGTTACGAAGGGAACCCGAGCAGGTGACGCGATCGCTAGACTGTTTCCCCGTTTTCCGCAAGGTGGATTTTCCACCCACACGTAGCGCGCACGCGGACGTGATCCTCGTAACGAAATGGTGGCTCCTCGTTCTTATTTAATGAATTTCACGCTCCGGGATTTATTTTTGAAACGTGCCTTTCGATACGACTCGACTGATTTTCGAGAGACGATGTATTATTATTAATGAAATCGGATTTAATGCGAAACACTGGCGGCTGTTCACGGGCAAATTGTCACAAGCGAATGCAATTTAACCGTCGCAAAGGCCGATCGTGTAATTAATTGACAACGCGTTTGCTTAACCAACGGGATTTGTTCGCTGGTTCGTTTGTTCTGGAATTTCTATGAACGCGATTTCGTCGCGGTGCGGTGTCGCGAACAGCGATTTTATGAATGCCAGCAGATCGATACGACGAGCTACCTTTTGCATTCTGTGAGAAAGGGGTGAGAAAGAGTGGCAGAGAATCTTGAAGCGAGGTGGCAGAAGAGAAAGACAATTTGATTGAGTCTGTAGAAGAAAAGACGGTGTGGTTTAAACAGGAGGAGAACAAAGAGGAAGCGTCGACGGTGGGAGAAAACGAGTCGTGAACTCGATAAGATAGCAGTTTCGGTCCAGACGAATTCCTCAATTCGAAGTATCAAGATATTACTTCTTCCTGATATTAGAATTATGAAAGAAACGTAACAGTAGCATACGCGAATTAGTTTGTAAAAGGTCGTGAGAGTTATTCATGCCTCTCTTGGTTCATCACGATACAAGAAGAGTTCAAATGGATTCAGGTTTGGACGACTTGTGGTGTTTAGAGTTGGTTGTACAATCATAGCAAGTTGCGGCAGAAACTTCTTGTTTACCGTTTAACGTGGAAATGTGTTTGTTAAACTTGACTCTCGGTTGATTACTTAATGACGCGCTATATTCAAGATTATTATTTGAATTTTGCTCGAGACCTTCCGATTTTCATTCATTTCCAATTCCGTTTTTCAAAAATGAAAACTGATAAATTACGTGACATATTTTCTGTTTTTTAAAGTGTAAAGAATCGCGGGATTTAATTATTAAAAGTCGATTTTTATGAGCATTCTGTACGACAGAACTACCGTCGCAACACAATGAACAAAGGAATAGAACCGGCCGCGCACGTCCCTGAATTACATTCATAAGGGTAACTGGGTTGCTCGCAAATCGAACCGTTTCCTCGACGAATAAAATTCCAATTTTCATGGTTCGCTGACAATGGAAGATGTCCGTATTAGTCACATCCGTATGAAAGTTCTTATCATTTCCGCGTTCCATTCACATGTGAATAACACAACGAATTGCATAAATTAAAAAAACGAACAAATGGCGGATACGTCCAATTTTCGTGTTGAATAAATTTTTCGTTGCAAAATTTCCGTCCAAACGCAAACGGATAATGCAGTTTTAATTTCGTATAACGTTGAATTACCACAAGTGTCTTTTCTCTTTTTTTTAACAGACTTAATAGTATAACAGCCATTTAGAGAAAAGCAACCCTTGTTACGCTACACAAACCCCTAAGCTGGTTACCACACTTTACTTTTTTTCACGAGTCTCTACTAACTTCTAAGCCTTGATAGCATGGTACTTGGATACTGCTGTAATTAAAACAGTGATGTTCTTAACGTTACTCAAGGGGTTAACCCTTTGAGCGGTTAATTTACGGCAAACTCCCTTCATTTTTATTGCACTTTTCTACTTGCATACGACGAGAATCTACATAAACGTTAACAGTTCCCATCCTTTTAATAAACAGTCGATCGCGGATTTGCTTCCGAATTCTGCTCTGGTTATATCGAAACTTTGTAGTCCGAAAACTTTATCGAAATTTCATACTTCAAATACTTCATTGTGTAATTTCATACTTGAAACAATTCACTGTGTACTTCACTGAATTCTCATACTTGGAATGCCTCGTTCTCGTAGAAGAGCTTCCCGCGTCGTAAATTCGTACTCCGATTGTTCGTCAAACAAATTTTACGCCTCATCTAATGTTCAGTCACCGAAAATTTTTCTATAAACTACCGTATGTAAGCCTTCGACACAAACTCGACTGAACACCGTTATCATAAACACTTCCAAGACCGAAAGTTAAACCATCAATCGAGACGACCCTCATTTTCACTAAACGGTCAATAATTAGAATTTCACTATGAGATTTACCATTACGAGTTTTAATCTCGACATCTCTTAGAATAAATGAGTCAAAGATTTCGATCGATACCGGGTAGTCTCGTTCGAAAAACGCCTCTCTGAACGACGATTCGGCGTGGACTCTTTTAATCAACTGCGCTTTCTTCGATCGGAAAATCAATAATCCACGTACCTCGATATCATTTAACTCGCGTTAGTTCGCCAGGCAAGGATAGATACTTCAAAGAAGTCGTCGTCGTCGGGCTGGAACGGTGGAAGAGTGCCGAAGAGACGAGGGGCGGGTAGAAGGGGGGTGAGAGCGGGACGGACGGAGCGAGCTGGTAAACGGAAATTGCGCCTGGGGGTTGGTAGCGCGGATTTAACGTTGTTTTGCCCTGACCTAGCTCTCTGGGTCCCCATTCCGAACCGGAAGGTAACAGCTCGGCTGGCTTTCATCCCCACCGAGCCAGCGAATGCTACTCTCGTAGTACTCACACCCGCTTCTCCGTCTCTCTTTACCCTCAACCCCCTTTTTCCCCCCGACGGGCTGGTCGGTTCTTGTTGGCCGTATCTCGCGCTGACAGCCTCCCTTATCTGCGATCCAAGGAACGTTCGGGATCTCCTGTAACCTGGAATATGGTTAGAGAATAATTGTGAGGATTGATAAACGGCGATGACAATTAGTCTTTGTTTGAGTGCGACCGAGTGGAATCTGGGGATCCGGTCGATTCTCGAGATACATCAAGAAGATTGATGGTCACGGGTAGTTTTTTGTGAGAACTCGCGATACGACAGGTAGTCGTGTTACCTTTGTATCGTTTGTTTGCAATGTATCCATTTGTATCGTTTACCTTTTGTTTGTGAAGTGTCGCTGTCACGTTACTTCAAGTGTGTCAAGAGACAGAAAAGAGAAATATAAGATATTTTTAGTTCCAATTCGAATATATATTTCTTAATGCATTTCATTTTGATACTAATATTCTTGTAAATTAATTATTAATTATTTGACACTTTTCCTTGAGTAAAAAAGAAATCAAGTGGAATCATGCAGGCGTGCTCGTTACAATTTACGAGATAAAAGCTTTCTACTCTAGTTACAGACATCGCTCTTGTCGTTTTTAGAAAGAACGGGTTCTCTCTCTCTCTCTCTCTCTCTCGATTTAAAAGGTAATCGAAACTGTACGTTCCAGACTCGTGATTTGAGACAGTCGACTAGCCCGGAGTTTCCGAGTGGACCACTTTTAACGTACGATTGACCCGCCCTTCAGAAATTTATAGTAGCCGAGATTTCTCAAGTTATCAATGAGTAACATTTCATTTTTATAAATCCTTACCAAGGAATTCAAGCATAATTCCATCCTAGTTTCGTTCCCGATCGATCGCACGTTGACGTAATTATACCGGACCAACGATTCGAATTGAAGGAGACGCGTAATGGCAGAGAAAACGAATGATGCGAATCGATGCGGTGTTTTGCCGATAATAAGCGAGGCACTGATTGATCGAGGCCGGCACTTGCGACAAAGGAATTTAATTTGCGTCAAAGAAAAATGCGAACGCGCTCGTTTTATGGAGCCGATCACGGAAATCCGAAACGTCGCGTCCGCTCGTTACGTACCGGCATCGATCGAGCCCCGACGCTTCCGATAGCTCAGTGGAAAAAAGATGGATCTAATTTTCTGTAACGTTTCAAGAGGAAGTAATTCTGGCACGGGAATCGATGGACGAATTCGATACGAAACGGAGGAAAGAGCTGCAGCCGTTATCACTATATTATTTAAACCCCCACCTAATTGGTTCAGTTAAAAACAAAAGGTGACTTCCTTTTATAGGACGAGTTGAATTTCGTGATAATGGCTCGCAAAGAAATTACAAAGACCGTCCCTCGTAATATAATGTAATACGAAATTCGCGTGGACACAAAATATCCCCATTGTTCGCTGAGTAAAATCATGGAGACGCGACAATTATAGTTTGCCCCGGAACAGGAACTTTCAAGAGCGCGAGAACTCCGAGCCGGTGTACCCTCATCAGCGCAGCCTTTGTCGGTCGTTCGCCACTTTGTTCAAACGAACTACCATCCAGAGCATACAATTATTTTCAATTACCGTTAATATTCATTCGTTCGGCGCATTACGCGATGATCCATCGACACTGAGACACGCGTCATAATTTAAGATCAGTTTCATCGCCGTCAACATTGCATAAATACATCGAATTCCATTGCGAATAATAAAAAGATTTACTGATAGAAATTTCATGATTCTCCTAACGTGAAACTTCTGAACGACGCGTTTTTATTTTCACGACGAAACGTCGTCCGTGATTTACAATACCGTTGGTTGCATTAGTTTTCCAGATGAATCTAACGATTCGGCGCGGCGACGCGCCGGCTCGACTCATTAGCATTCTCGACGATGCTTAAATAGGGCGGAGTCTGGAATAAATTCACCGCTCGGCTAGTTCGATTCGAATTCCTTTTGTTTCGTTCCGTCGGCGGCGTTCGGAGCTTCGCACGTTTTCGAATTCCATGAATGAAGGTTCATTCCGAACAAATAATTTCGTACGAAAGGAACGTCAACTTTTTCCATCAGGTCATCGACGAACGCAATTGTTTAGTACTTAATGGCTCGGATAATTGTACAATGAAAAAAAATAACAGCACAACAGGGGACGTCTATGGGAAATCATGTTAGTTTAAATCTGTTTCGCGTTACTGCGAGTAACTATGTTACACGGGGACAATTGCGAGATAATGAAGCAAACTGGTGCCGGGTTCCGCGGATGGAACTTACCGTTGCCAGTCGAAACGAGATCTAACAACGTGTTTAATTAAGTAGCTAATGAATCGTGCGCACAGAGTAAAAAGCTGATGGTAATCACAGTGCGACGTTATTAATTCGATATTGTCCGAATAATTAGTAGATATAATTAGAGCAACGCCCAGATAGATAGGCAATTACGCCAATTAATCTTTTGCATCGTTCCTTTTTTGCCTTACCTCGTAAACTCTTATTCGCAAGGATTTATGCCGCGTATTTATAACAAGGATATCTCAGCTTCGGATTACCAAGGGTTCTGCAATACCGTGAATGAAAAAAGGAGAAAGAACGAATGTACGGCCTCGTTACCGACCACGCCGCGTTTCCACGTTGATTGCGTTATTTGGAGACGGTCGTTTCCTTTGGACCATTAAGGAAATTACTCGCGGAAGGAAGATCACGTCGTCCTAACGAATTCGATCCTCTTAACGATTCCAAAACAATGAACATCAATAAAATCATTTCTTTCCAGTGATACCTCGTTCAATTATTTAATTATTTGTTTAAACTTTAATAAATGCAATGTTAATAAAAACACAATTTTCTAGTTTCAGTCTTGCCACTCCGTTTATAAACGTGCTGGAAATTTAGAGGTAAAAAATTAGGAAACATTGCTTCAGTGCATGGAACTAGAAATTACGGCTGCGAGGAAAGTAAGTATTCTCGTTGTCGCATTTCGTTCAATTTCTCGCGCGCTCAGAGACATTTACTCGTTTCCACGCTGTAGCTACGATCGCGAGCTAGTCCAGGTGTTGCTGACGCCTGTCCGACAAGGTAACAAGAATCTCCATGGTGTAATTGAAATTATGTTTCTACCTTCTGTTTCCACTTAACGACGACTTTTAAAATAAATCGTCTATATAGGAGACGCAGTTATTTTTGCATTTGAAAGTGTCAATTTTATGAAAACAACATCGATGTCGTTGATAGCATTTCCGACAGCAAGTGGTTCCAAACATGACACATATTAATCCGTTTATGAGAGTAATTAGGAAATTAAGGTACAATCATAATTATGCAATTTACATATCAGGTTGTAATAGGTAGGTGAGAAGTAATTAGATAGGTTCAATTACGAACGAATACTAGTGCAATAAAACACCGTTTGTGAATAAACCGAGAACATCGAAATATTCCCAGTACGTGTAATTCCGAGAGAACGTGTCAAAATTAAATTATTTAAGTAATACCAGCAACAGATTCTATTAATAATGTTAATTAAATTGATCTATTAATTCCGATGTTTCAATCTGTTCTCCCGAAGAATAATAAAAAGGATCGTATTCATTAACGCTGTGTACATTATTAATATTTGTTCAACAGCTGTTGCACGTCCTATATTAAATGAAGCGCGACGAATGACATGGCGAGTAAAAAATTCATAACTAGCGAACCGGATCAATCGTTCCGCGTTGACTGCAATTCGAAACGCAATTAGAACACTTAACTAGTTCTTACTGGGGAATGTGATTTCGCGTTACATTACGAGAAATAATTGATCCAATTCCGTAAAATCTCACGGCGTCACGCCGTAGTAGAAAAGTGAGAGAAAATTAATCCTTCAGACCGGCCACGCTTCCCTCCCACGTCCGTCTTTTTTCCACCATCGTTGGCGTCCTTCCGTTCCTTGGCGAAATGTCGCTATAATAACTTTGCGACTGCTGCCAACGACAGAACGTTTAGGCCGTTGAATATGCAATGGAAATTACAGACGGCGAGAAGGAATTTCAGAACGGGTACCTATGGAAAAATTACACCGCCCCTTTTCCTCTCAGTCTTCTTCCATACGAAACTTCCTTGAATCGTCTTCACCCCATTATTAAATGTCGATTTATCCGACATTTAAAATCTTCGATTAATCCCGTTCGTTTAGACTGCAATTTGTAACTTATTAATGAATATGTATTCTTAATTCAAGCCGCGTTGAACACACGAGAACATCGTGTGAGGCCACGACGCGATGCCCTTCGCGGTAATAATTTAAACGCGCGAGTCTCTTGTTTAATTGTTCTAGGCGGAGTCCCCTAACACCTGAGAAACTTACCGCGAAGCGGTGCTTCGAGCCACGGCACGAACTCCGCGAGAGTTATAGCAATTTAAATGGTAATTGCATCCACGCGTGCGGCGGCGATCGTTCCAGTCGCGAAGCTTTCAAGATTTCGAAATTCGCCAGGTTCGCGCGATCGACGCTCGTTTTGCATATGGAAATTGATCGTGTTCCTCGCTTCTACCGTAGACCGTCGACGATCCCGGCATGAATAAAACGACGTAACTCCCGACGCGAAAACATCAACGCGCGCGTCGCTAACTTCGTCTTCCTCCCGCGGAAACCGTGTTTCCAACGGGAGGGTTTCGCCCTCCCTCCGTCCCTAAGCGACGGGAGTTAACGCGCGCGCGAGAAGTTAACTTTCCGAGCGAACGCTTAAAAGCCTCCTCGATCCGGTGTAAAACCCTTTTTTATTTTCCGAGTCCGGGGGTGGATTGCCGCTTTGCAACTTTTATGGTGGCGCGATTTCGGACTTGCACGAGACGGATTTTAGTCCGCGCATCCAGCGAAAGCATTTTAAAAATGATTTTCGATCTCTGATACACGAGATTCGAAAAGGTGTAATTTGATCGTCGAATCGAGTATAAATAATGAAAATGATGATTTTCCATATGTACGATTGTCAATGAGATTTATAAATTCATTTGCATCGTGCGTTTCACCAGTGAAATATTTGAACTGGCTGAATTCTACTTTCAGTCATAAAGCGTTTTAATCTCAAAGAATATCCAACTTTTCGCAGTAGTTTCATTACTCTGCT